CGATCCTCCACCATCTGCAGCCCGGGAACGTGGGAACGGCAACGCCAGGAAGCCCCACGCTGGGAGCTGTGCTGCACCAAGATGTTGGGCTGAGGGGAAGGAAGGAGCCTTGGAGGAAGAATTTCAAGGGGAATCAGAGTCAAGCGGAGGCGCAGCGCCCGGCAGGGAGCAGAAAACTTTGCAAGCCAAGGCGGGGACTCAGAAGGGGACCAGCTGTAAAAAGATCACCTCCACGCGCGCACACAAGCGTTTTCCCTTCCTGCACCTGGGGATGCCGATTCCACCTCCCTCCTCTTGCAGAGTCCTTGCCCACCTGGCGCCCCTTACGCGCCCCTCCCCAGGAAGGGATCTCCGCAGCCCTGGCGTAAAGGATTTCTGGAGATCAGGAAGGGGTGGGTGGGCAGGAAACTGCGCTCCCCCCACTTTCCTTCCTCCTCTCTAGGCGCAAGAGGAAACCTCTCTGCGTTTAACCCCTTCGCTGAAGCCGCTGCGGGGAGGGGGCGACTGGGGTGCCGACGAGCAATGCCAAAGTCCGGATTTAAACGAGAGAGAGGGAGAGGGGGAGGGGGAGAGAGACAGAGAGACAGACAGAGACAGAGAGCGAGAGAGAGACAGAGAGAGAGAGAGACAGAGAGACAGACAGAGAGAGAGACAGAGAGACAGAAAGAGAGAGAGACAGAGACAGACAGAGAGAGACAGAGACAGAGAGACAGACAGAGAGAGATGAATCACTTCAACAATAATTTGCATGGCCTAATCCAGTGGTCTCCAACCTTGGCAACTTTAAGACTTGTGAACTTCAATTCCCTGAGTTCCTCAGCCAGCTTTTCAACTCTGGGAGTTGAAGCCCACAGGTCTTAAAGTTGCCAAGGTTGGAGACCACTGGTCTAGTCCATTAGGAAGGCATTCGTGTAGTCCATTAGGAAGGCATTCGTGCTGAAGAGGGGCGAGGCAGATCTGCCGAAGTCGCTGGACTACAACGCCCCTCATCCTTCAGCCCAGCAATTCTTGGCTGGAGATGCTGCCATTTCTTCAATCACTAACCACCTTCATAATGTCAGAAGGAATCTGCTAGCACCTTTTCTAACCCCTTGTATTAATAGGCACAGTTCCTGCAAGGCTTTTCACAAAATTTCTTAGTCTGCAAAAGAAGGCAATTCGATGCCTTCTGATTTTTTGACCACTGTAGTCTCCAAGGGTCTCTTGTTCTGAGTAGGAAGATCCATTTCCTAGCTTTTTCTCTCTCTCCCCCGTTTTAAGGGTTTCCATCTTTCAACATGTTGTGCCCAAAAAACAAGTTTTCTACCGGTGGAATTGGGTATCCCCAAGGACAAAAGAAACCTAGGAACAGGTGTGATGAGACTACACAATAGTGCTGCATCACTTTGCCAATCTAACTGAGGGAACGTCATACAATGCCCTTCACAAACTGAGATCCAGAATAAGGGGGGGGGGACTTCACATGGGAACATTTTCTTTTCTCTAATTGCATTAATTTTCAGAGATTTCAGATGGGAAGAAGAGGCAAAAATTAAGAGGAGGTTCAGAACAATGCTTGTTTTTGGTTTGATCGACAGCAACATATTTAGCACTGAAGGAGAATTGAAACAGCCATTATCTTATTTCTTACCATCTTTCTTCTGCTACTAATGTAACCTACAGCAGAGCCGTCAAATTCGCAGTCCTGTGCTGGTCAGCCCATGCCCAGTTTAGTGAAGGGAGGAAGTCACGACACATGACGCCGCCGTGATGACATGGGTTTTACACCCCTGGTCTACATTAAAGCTCCCATTTATAGTCCATTGTATCACCAACATTAGCATTTGGAGAAGCACCCCTGCATCAAGTTGCTCATAACTTTCTAATTCTACTATTGCAAAATATGACCTTCAACTTAAAGAATTATAAATTTGGGCAGGGGAGAGGGAGAGAGAGCAGATGCTAAAGAGAAACATGCAGAAGAGGCCTTCATCCTGCAATGGATAAACAATGGCTAAATGATTATATATCTATCCATCAATAGATACTGATTAACAGAGTTCGAAGGGATCCCGCCCAAGCAGACCTTACACCATTTCTGACAGATGGCAGTCCAGTCTCTTCTTGAAAGCTTCCAGCGATGAAGCTCCCACAACTTCCAAAGGCAAACTGTTCCATTAGTTGATTGCTCTCTCAGTCAGAAAATTTCTCCTTATTTCCAGGTTGAATCTCTCCTTGTTCAGTTTCCATCCATTATTCCTTGTCTGACCTTTAGGTGCTTTGGAAAATAAGTTGACATCCCTCCTCTGTGTGACATCTTCTCAAGTATTGGAAGACTGCTAGCATGTCACCCTTGGTCCTTCTCTTCAATAAACTAGCCATGTGCAATTTTTTTTATTACAGGTTTTGTGGGCGTGGCAGGGGAAGAATACTGCAAAATCCCCATTCCCACTTCACTCCAGGGGAAGGATAGTGCAAAATCTCCATTCCCACTCCACTCTGGGGAAAGGATACTGCAAAATCTCCATTCCTACTCCACTCTGGGGAAAGGATACTGCAAAATCCCCATTCCCACTCCACTCCAGGGGAAGGATAGTGCACAATCTCCATTCCACTCCACCCCAGGGGAAGGATACTGCAACATCTCCATTCCCACTCCACTCTGGGGAAAGGATATTGCAAAATCTCTATTCCCACTCCACTCCGGGGGAAGGATACTGCAAAATCTCCATCCACACTCCACTCCAGGGGAAGGATACTGCAAAATCTCCATTCTCACTCCACTCCAGGGGAAGGATACTGCAAAATCTCTATTCCCACTCCACTCCGGGGGAAGGATACTGCAAAATCTCCATCCACACTCCACTCTGGGGAAAGGATACTGCAAAAATCTCCATTCTCACTCCACTCCAGGGGAAGGATACTGCAAAATCTCCATTCCCACCCCAGTCTGGGGCCAACCAGATGTGGTAGTTGCCGGTTCGCTGAACTCAAAATGTCTGCTACTGGTTCTCCAGAACCGGTCAGAACCTGCTGAATTCCACCCCTGGGTTATATGTCTTAATGCTGATGTTCCCAACAAGCCAGATTTGCTCCTGGAGGAGATTTTCAGTCTGCTAAATGCTAAATGTCATGTGCATCTATACATTCCCTTGAAAAAGAAGTATTTCTTAAGTCAATCTGAGAGAGAGACACACATACTCAGCAAAGCCAAGAGAAAGGCAAACATAGTGTTCTTAAATGTTTCCAAAAAGCACTTTCAAAACATTGTAAAAAGGTTGGCAATATAGAAGTGCATGCAAAACTGTATAAAAGTCGCCCCACTCTTTGATGGATACATTCCTTTTTTCATAAAAATTAGAATTTTTAAATCTAATATAAATACAAAACAAACAGAGAGAAAACAGCATCTGTCGCTAGAGGGCGTTATATCGCTCAGCAATGCTCGGGATGAGGGAACTGTGTCGGCGGACACAGTTACGGTGGTAAACTGAAAGGAATGGAAAGTGTAGAGTATTAATTTGGTAGAGAGGACGTCGGAGAAGACGAGAAAGAGGGTAGAAGGACTCCTTCCGGCTCAGCAATGTGAGTATGGTGGCGGTGTAGTAGGCTCTCGTGCTCTTCCCAGGGTCGAAGCGGCTGCTGGAAGGTGAGTCGAAGAATCGGAGCAGAAATCAGAAAGCGAGTAGGGCTGTTTGGTTCCCTCCGCGGTGTAGCAGCAGGAAAGCAACTAGGCTGAAACGCGTCGGCTGCTGCATATTTTTATAAACCAAATAAATTCTACTCCACTGGGGCTGCACGCTTTAAAAGCGCCGCCTGCAATTTTCTGGTGGTTGGAAGATTTACCAAGTCTCCTTCAAGTTAGGTTTGACTCCTGGTGGTTTTAGGGTGGGGTTTGTTTTCCTGGCAACAATGCGAGGCTGATCTACTTATTGCCCTCTTCTGGGATTTTTCTTCTTCTTACTTTCATGCCTAACTAACACACACTGGATTTCCCAGGGGTGCCCCATCTGTGTATTCACCAGGTTCAAATGTGCTTAACCCTGCACTTGTTTAAAAATAGCTTTCGAACATCATTTGGAATTTTCAGTTGTATACATAGTCCTACTTTCCTCCCCCCCTCCCACCCTTCAGAAATAACAGCGGCGCTGAACAAGGGAGATTTACACCTCGTCCTCAAAAGTTGTGGCCATTGCACTTATTGGGGTGCTGGCACCGGCTTGCAGTTGCGACAGTTGTGATGTCCCACAGTCATGGAATCACCACAACTGGGACCTTCACAGTTGGCTTCCTACAAACAAAGCCAATTGGGAAACTTGCAAATCATGTTGCGTTGCACCTAACAACCCACCGTGATTTGCTTAATGATTATGATTGCAGCTAGAACGGCTGTTGTAAATTGGCACTGTCATGTGACATCACACTTAAGGACTGTTTAGAAGTTGCCTGTCAGTAGTTGTGGTGGTCAGTAAGTGAGGGCAATGTATGTTGTGATGTCATCGGAGAGCTTAAAGCCTTTCTAAAATTAGACCAAATATATTTTGAAAGAAACCATTGCATGTCTAGAAATGAGCGACTGACAATAGTCAACAAATGAATCTCATGACTCAGTGGACATTTGAACTTGGGTATCACTAGATTATAGACTTATACAAACAGAAAATGAACCTTAAGTAATGTAAGAGATTTTATTAACATTTTGTAATGTTTGCTTATTAATTGTAATTTATCCTTTTTGGTTTTATTATGTTGACTAACCATTTTATAAACCATAATTAAACTAACCCTCTTATGTGAATCTTATAGACAAAGAGAATGCCAGTCAGAGCACTTTGGACAACTGAGAATAACAAGCAGCATTGAAAAGCAAAGCAAATGAAGCCAACAATCAAAATAATTTCTATTTTCTCCAGAAAACCAGAGCCTTTTCTTCACTAGTTTCCAAATTCAAAAAACACGGGATGTCAGCAGGAAGGGGGAAAAATCACTTGGATAACCATGTAGGGCGGAGAGCACTGCAGGCCTCACCTGTGTGGAGGAAATACTAGCTTGAGTCAAAACTCCATCCAACAAGAGATCCAAAGAATTTTTAACTTCCTTGAGAATCCAAGAATGTCAATGGTGGAAAAACACCATAGATGTACATATTGTGGAGAAAGCATGGATAGTAAATCACAGTTGATAATACACCATGTATGAGTGTCCAGTTTGTGGAAAAACTTTCAGTCAGAATTCCAGCCTGATAATACACCAGTGGACACATACAGGAGACAAACCATATGAATGTCCTGAATGTGGGAAAGGTTTCCGTCAGAATTCCCACCTGGTGATACATCAGAAGATTCACACAGGCGAGAAACCATATGAGTGTCCAGATTGTTCGAAATGTTTCATTCGGAATTGCGACCTGGTGATACACCAGAGGACACACACAGGAGAGAAACCATATGAGTGTTTGGATTGTGGAAAATGTTTCAGTCAGAATTTTGACCTAGTGATACATCAGAGGACTCACACAGGAGAGAAACCATATGAGTGCCCAGTTTGTGGGAAAAGTTTCAATTGGAATTCACACTTGGTGGTACACCAGCGGACTCACACAGGAGTGAAACCATATGTGTGTCCAGATTGTGGGAAAAGTTTCAATTGGAATTCGCACTTGGTGGTACACCAGCGGACTCATACGGGAGAGAAGCCATATGAGTGTCCAGATTGTGAAAAAAGTTTCATTCGGAATTCTGACCTGGTGAGACACCATGCAACACACACAGGAGAGAAACCATATGAGTGCCTGATTTGTGGGAAAAGTTTCAGTCGGAATTCTTACCTGCTAATACACCAGAAGATTCACACAGGAGAGAAACCATATAAGTGTCTGGAGTGTGGGAAAGGTTTCAGTCAGAATTCCTCCCTGGTGATACATCAGAGAACTCACTCAGGAGAGAAACCTTATGAGTGTCTAGACTGTGGGAAATGTTTTAGTCAAAATTCCAGCCTGGTGAGACACCAGAGGAGTCACACAGCAGACAAAGTATATGAATGCCCAGATTGTGGAGAAGGTTTCTGTCTGAATTCCCACCTGGTGATACACCAGAAGATTCACACAGGGAAGAAACTCTATGAGTGTCCAGATTGTTGGAAATGTTTCCTTCGGAATTCTGAGCTGGTGATACACCGGAGGACTCACACAGGAGAAAAACCGTATGAATGTCCAGACTGTGGGAAAGATTTCAGTACTAGGTCTAACCTTATAAATCATGTGCGTATACACACAGGGGAGAAACCATTTAAGTGCCCCGACTGTGGACAGTGCTTCAGGAAACATTCCACCCTTATCGCACACAAGAAAATCCACATGAAGCCCAAAGGGCTGAATATAGAGAAGGCTTGAATTTCCTTTCTAAAGTCCCATTCTTTTTAGTCAAATACATCATGGTTTTAGATGTGAAGAAGGGGAGAAATTTAATAATAGCAGCCCTTTCTAAGCGGTTTACAGAGTCAGCATATTGCCCCCAACAATCCGGGTCCTCATTTTACCCACCTCGGAAGGATGGAAGGCTGAGTCAACCTTGAGCCGGTGAGATTAGAACCGCTGAACTGCAGATAGCATAGTTGGCGAGGTGCTAGTAAACTAGAAAGTGACACCTGGTTGTTGTCAGTGCTTGGGGGAAGGGAGAAATCTTGCAATTTAATTCTCTACTTGTTCTACAAGTAGATGCCAAATAAAGCAGACGCAGAATGTCAAGCCTGGGAAAGAAGTCCAATATAAAAGTAACCTTCAAAAGGACAATGTCATGATATTGTAATTTCTAAACCACAAAGCGTAACTAACTCAAAAAGTATGATCAACCCTTGATATGTTTAAGTATCCTCCAAACTATGATTTAAGAAGATGCTGTGATTTTACTCAGAGTTTGTTCTGAGCTAGGCTTCCCCAAAAAGCATGAAACAGATTCCTGGTCCCGACAAAATCCCTTTTATTAAACAAATGTGAATT